GGAGCAGCAGAGACAACATGTGATGAACTGAGCACAACCCCTGTTCCCCGTCCCTGTGTGCTGCTCAGGGGGAGGAGGTAGTGAAATAAGGAGTGAAGTTGAGCCAAGGAAGAAGAGAGGGGCAGGGGGAAGGTGTTTTAAAATTTGGGTTTGTTTCTCATTACCCTACCCTGATTTGATTAGCAATAAATTAAATTAATTTCCCTGAGGTGAGTCTGTTTTGCCTGTGACAGTAACTGGTGAGAGATCTCTCCCTGTCCTTATCTCAACCCATAAACCTGTTGTCATATTTTCCTTCTCCTGTCCAATTGAGAAAGGGGAGTCATAGAGCAGCTTGGTGGGTACCTGGCATTCAGCCAAGGTCAACTCACCACAATTACTTATCTAATTAAATACTCCTGAGGCATACAGGAAGAAAATACTGTTATCAAAGCTCACAGAACTATCTCTACTCTGTGCAGGTATTTAACCCATGAAATAATGTTAACAGTGCATTAAAATAGGAAGCTGCATATGCTTAAAGAAGCCACAGTATTTTGCCCATAAACCTCCAAAATAACATGGCCATTTCATATAACCCAAACAGAATGTTCAGAAACCATTACAGCCTTTTCTGCATTATATGAACCACGAATTTTGAGGGCTATGGAAATTGTGCTTTGGTCCAGGGAAGTGACTGTAATATGTAGAATTTTTCCCAATTTATCCAGCATTTCATTCTGTCAAGGTAACATAAAATTTGGCATCTAAATTTGACATTTGATATTATTGAACTCTGCGATTGCTCTGGTATTCAGAAAGGACTTCTTTCACTAAAGCTTCTGAACTTAAGTTAGTTGCAATGCTCTTAGAATATGGGTTAGTCCACTTACAGAGCTTATAATCAACCTTACAGCCTCCTTTTGCTGTACTGAATTTATTCAGACTTCCACTCAGTGTACCCTCCCTCAAAGGCAAAAACAACAGCTAGATTAACCTCGACTGCTTTATTGTTTACTATCAGCATTTTTAAGGAATGTAATTTTTACTTGTATCTGGACATCCTTATCTTCCAACTGAGATACATTTACTTTCTGAATAGCTAGCCAGCCAAGTGACATGCTTGCTTCCTGCTGTTCAGCCATCCAGCCAAGAAAATGAATTGCTCACCATCCTTAAGGTGGCCAAGTGGAAAATACTGTTAGTAAGCCAAACAAATTGCTCTACAGACCATCACTGTACAGTATACAAGTAACCAAGGAAATATGTAACACTGACTCAAACTTTCATCAGGACAAAGATGATGTTTGATGTCTCTCTATCATGTTTGGATGGCTCCAACACAGAGAAATGGCATAAGAACCCTCTATTTACTGGCCTAAATGACTATACTATACAGTTATGTGAAAGGTAAGCACCAGCTGCCCAAAAATAAAATATTTCCTATCAAGCATCATACATACATCTCTGTAATAGACTTGACTTTATAGGTAAATCTACAAAACAGAAAGAATATTAATTGACAAATGATGTGGTGATATTGATACATAAAAATTAGGATGTGCATTTTTCATGGTGCATCACTGTACTAACAAGTCAAAAAAAGCATGAAAAAATTATAAACAAACCTGCTGGAGCTACGAGATCTTCTTGAAGAGCTATAGCTTCTTGGGGGTATTCTGGATCTCTTATCTTTCTTCTTTTTATCATCTCTCTCTTTTTCTCTTTCTTGCTCCTTATCCTCATCTTTTTCCTTTTCTTTGTCCTCTCCTTTGTCCTTATCTCCCTCCTTGTTCTTAATCTTCCCCCTGTCCTTCTCCCCCTCTTTCTCAACATCATCTTTTTCCTTGTTCTGCTCTACCTCTTCCCTATCTTTTTCCTTATCTTTGTTTTTTTCCCTGTCCCTACCTTTGTCCTTATCCTTGTTCCTGTCCCTATCCCTATCTTTGTCTCTGATTCTCTCTTGATCTTTGTTTTGGTCTCTCTCTCTCTCCTGGTCCTTCTCCTTATCCCTGTTTCTCTCTTTATCTCGCTCTCTTTCC